ACCATCTTTGAACAGAGGCGGTGTCTTACAACACCAACTGTCTGCCATCTATGATCCAGTTTTAACATCCCTTCCCAGACGCCTTAACGCCCACTCACATCCTGGGCTATCTGACCTCAAGAAATCACATGATAGGGTGGGGCCAGGTTTCACAATGAACTCACCCGAAACCCTGGCTGATTGTGACCTACACCGGTTTTCACACCTTGGCTCATGTGATTAGGTAGAGGATCACCAGGGGGTCCACTGTCCCTCTCGAGGGGATACTCCCACTGGGTTTAAATCTGGGACTCTCTGCCATTCGACCCTAGAACTGAAGAAGCTTCTCGGATGAGAGGTGAAACGTTGTACGATGACCTGGATAACTGACAAGGTGAACTGTGTTCAAAGACAGTGATTTGTGGAAGTGTTCCTGAGCTCATGCAGTGATTTTCATGGCAGAAGTGGGCCTGTTTGTGGCCTGATGGTTCAAAGATCACAAGCATCCAATATTGATTTTCAGCCTTGTTTTTCGTGCAGAGACATTTCTGGATTATTCTTAATTATAAGTGCCCTCACAAAGTTGCAAAATGCCCCTTCAGCTGTTCCTTTTTAGTATCACTCGATTTTTCCAGCCATAAAATAAGTCAAACCTTCTTTTTTTTTTTTTCATTTTAACAGTTATAATTGTTTGAAAGCAAAAGCTACATACCTGAGTGAGCTGATGAACGGCAAAGCCTTTAACAGAGACTCACACTGACTGTGACAGGCAGGAGTTTCCTTGTCCCAGCGGAGGCACACATTAACCTTTGTAGGCATCCTCTGCATGATTTCCACAGCTCTTTCAAAAAGCTTCTTTTCAGCATTAACTAGAAGGTGAAGGTTTCCATCTAGGATGAATAAGCTTACAAAGTTCATCTGCTCTTCATTGATAAGAAAAATCTCCCAAAGCTGTCGAGGCAGAGGGCCAGACCTACAATTGAAAAAGAGATCACATTACCTCAGAGTATGCTTTTCATTACAGGTTGTAACCTAAGGACTAATATAACCCTAAAACTACATGTTCATTCTTACCCCTGAACATTTTTAAAGCATTCAAACAGCTGTCTCATTCCTTGTTCTGATATGATCACGTCCTCGAGGTTCAGCCTTATTTTCCTTTCCTTTGACTGAGTGACCACA